ACCGCGGGATCTCCTAACGCTTTCTCATAAGGCTGACTGGGAGAGTAACTTTTCTATGCGTGTTCAAGAATATGGTTTCTCGAAGGGTAAGTGAACCGCGACCACCTTTTTCTATTGTTTCACTCTCTTGATCGCAATAAGACAGCACAAAATGCCATCTATTACCACAATCGATCACAGCGAGATTTTCACGCCCAGTGCACCGTGCCTCCGGGCAATCTGAAAGATAATCCGAGCGAGGAACCTTCTCAGATGAACAGACAAAAGGGAAATCTATGAACGTCGCATAGATGTTACAATGAGAGTACCCCAAGGATCCTCGTCGGGGCCACTATCGTGCAATATATTTACGCAGATGATATGAAACTAATGGTGCTAGAAACTCTGGACAATATTGCAGAAAGCCGAGGTTCATGTGATACGTTTGTAAATTTTCGGCAAAATATTGTGTCTGTATCGAAATAAGGCAGAACAAGATGCTATCTATTACCACTGCGAGAGTGTATGGCAGCTATCGGTTTTAACCGAATCAATTGTTCATTTTCAGATCATCAATACCGGATATGGGATTTTCCTAACCCAACAATTTCTTGGACATACCACAGCTAGTGGAATTTGCTCAATGTATGAAATTATCATTGACTTATTTGCAAGAAAATATGCTGCGCCATCTCTTACACTTAAAAAAAGCATAACCTAACATCATGATTGTCGACATGGTAGAAATCTAGAGCAGCCACACACTTACCTTATTGAAGGATACAAAATATTATGGGAGTGAGGGATACTACTAAGGCGTCCTACAATTGTAAGTACGACTTAGAAGCTTCATTTTCTCATTTACTGCATTGGTCGAATACAAAATTCTGATCGTGATGTATACCAAATCTCGTCGTGACTCATCTCGGTGTCTTCAGCCGAGGGATACGAAGATACATCTTTGCAAGGGCAAAGTAGAACGTACGGTTAATAAACGACGGGCCATGTAAGTGTACATTTAGAATCGACACCATCTGAGCTAGGGTCAAGGTACTGTGTACCAGAGTAGCCTGACTGGAAGTTTTGTTTATTATCGGCAACGTAAATAAAGATCGATAAAGCTCCGATTTTTGCGAGTAGTTTTGTGGCTCCGATCGGATAATTCAAAGTTACGAGCATCGCTCGGGGACACCGATGCGCTTTGATCGAGCACCACAGCGGCTACGTTGCCAAGTAATCTAGTTCTTTCTTTCTTGTGTTATTTGATGAAGAAGCAGAAATGGAAATAGTAGTGATATATGGCAGCGGAACCCGGCAACTAGAGAACGATTCGCTAGTTTTGTTGACAAAACCAGCACTGAAACTTGACCTTCAAATTCTGTCACTTCCAATAACTACGCGACGCCTTGCCTAGAAAAAATAAGGCTTTCTTCTCTTTAGATATCTCCTTACGATAACAGGCCTGTGAGAATCTCAATCATAAAATTCCTTTGCAAGCACCTGATCCTTGCTTCTGGTATTTTATGTATAATCTTCAGATCATTTTCCTACAATTGAGGTTTTCTCTCAGATGAGTCTCTTCTAATGGAGCCTGGCACCAGTTGTACCTAGCCCTGTAAGAGTAGGGACTTAGACTCACCATTTTTTCACTAGCTGACTTTATCAGTGACAGTACGACTCCGGTGTCATCTGCAGAATTTGCAAGTTTCACATCTGTAGCTTATGGTGTGCTATTTATGCAAAGTATTGGTACCAGAACGCTTTAGTGTGGAACGTCAGCTTCTATTTCAATAGGACTAACGACGACTGTGTGATCTGGGGCTCAGGGTGCATCACTCGCATAAAATAGTGGTCTCGGAACGCTTCCCTGTGGAACACTAGCCTCTATTTCAATAATGCTAATGACGGTTGTATATTCCGAAGCTTAGAATGTGCAATGTGCATAAAGTTCGTAAAGTATTGGCCCCTTGAGGCACTTTAGCGTTTATTTCCACAATGCTGGTGTTGGCAACACTGCAAAGGGTAGAAAAGGCCGCGGAGCGCTCCAGGCTGTGTGTTCTTGGCGACGTTATGCAAATGTCGATAAATAAATTGATCTAGATTGCTCAAAATTAAAGTAGATAATGACGTATTTACATGAATTTTACAGCTGGGAAGATGCAGAGCCAGCCTCCACAGATGTATGTTTAAAAATGTTGAGAAATGAATGTTTATACAATCATTCCTTCTGGGTCACATCTGCGGTAACGTCATTAAGGTTTTATGTCTCTCTGTCTCTACTGAAGGGTGCCTGAATGTTAATTTTTTATTTATTTTTTGCTTTGTCTGGTTAAGTATTAATTATCTCTGACTAAATAGCCACAAGGGCCACGTGCATTGAATACGAAGACAATTATATGGTGTTGACGAGGTGTAGTTAGTGTCTTGGTAAGGTTTAGGCGATTTTATGCCAAATTTGATTCATTATCTATCTATTTGTCATCATATTTCAGAGAGATCCTAAGAGCTTTGTTCTTGGGGAAAGTCTTACATTGCAGGAGGTCTGGAAGGTCAGGTTACTAGATACCAGAGAGCCGTAAAGAAAGAAATGAAGCAAAAAGAAAGGAAGAAACAAAGTAAAAAGAGGAACTGCATCTCTTGGCCTTGACACTGTTAACTAAGATTTGGGAAATTTGAAATGAGCAAGAGAATTGATTCTTTGTTGAGAGAAACATTGAAAGGTTGGACCTAAAATCGCCCGTTTTAACTTTGTTCACAGTGTACGCCGCAATCCTTGTAGGTTTGCTGTGCGATTCATGAAAAAAATATTCTATGAGCGTTATCCTGATTATCTTCCCACCAGGTCACAAATTACAATCATGGTACAGACTTGGGGCCAATTGATTCCACATACCGTGGAAACGAAATTCCTCCAAATGTTGCATAGAAATAAAAACATTTTCCGTCTATTTACCTTCGCCTTTGGTCTTACTCTGAATAAGAATTGATACAATACAATGACAAATGAGTCAAGTTACCATCGGTACCTACCAATTCACCAGAAGCCAAAGAAATCAGATCCGATTGCGACACTGAATGCCAAGTCGTTTATTGTCAAGTGCATTATCTCTCATGATCACACGTTCGAAGATTCAACTCGGAGCGGTGTTGCCAGACAAAGTAAGATTACCCAAACTTCAAGGAAGTTTACTCGAAATTGGTGATTTGGGATTTCATGCCAAGTTATTTCAAGATCTCCCGCTTAAAGATTCACCTTCAGACCTGGTTAAATTTTCCTAGCTTTAGAGAAGTCTTACGAGACATGCATCAGGATAGCAGAAACGTCAAGATGTACCGATGCCATTGATTTAAACTTCGTGCTTATCTCATAGCAGGAGCAGAGTACCATTTGCATACCTCCTCGCGCTTCTGTGAATCTGATAACAAGCCTCCGATCTACCCAATTTCATGAGGAAGCTGCGGTCGACAGTGTGATATTCAGAAACGTATAGATCTATATCAGATTGCAGAAACGACTGCGAGCATAGAAGCCAAAGATCAAAATTTCGTGTCAACATCACAGCATAAGCTGATGACCATTCAGATACCTCCTCGCGGTGATTCTAATAGCAACGCTTGTGTATCAGGATCGCAGAAACGTTAAGATTTCCCTAATTATGTGGAGGTTCGTCCCATAGATTTTTTACATATAACGAGTATAGGAGTATCCAAAGAAATCGGAGAATTTTAAACCGGCTGCTTTTTAAGAGCAAGTACCATATTGTACTGAAGTGTAAAATAAATGGGCTTCACAGTTGGGTTCCTGAGAGGAGCCGGCAACGTTGCTCGAAGTCGTGCAGCGCAAGTGAACCACATTTTCGAAATTATTAATCGCAGTGCGACGTTGACTAATTTCCCTTTTATTGTGCACTTAAGAAAAAATCGCCTGCCCGTAATACGGTTTGCTTGTATGAAAAATACTGCTCGAAGCTTATTTATACTTCCTTTTATGCGTAGAATTTTTCAAAATTAATCACGGCGGTGTTATGCGATACATTTTATGTATTTTTAAAAGTGTAAAGTAACATTAATGTTAATTCGTCACTATCCATTCGGAAATTCGAGAAATCTTATCGTTTCGATTTCAGTTCAACAGTGCATAAATCTTTAAGATCCGTCCGCATATCTTCTTATCTCAAGCAGTCTCGTACAGAATGAGAACACGTTTCCAGCCACCTCCGCGTGACTTGGTAGCATATTTTCTCACGAGCCTAAAAATAACCTCGGGTCATCAATGCATAGCTAAACCGAGATAGCCGTAAATTATGTTTATTGACATCGAACTCATAGCTGAAATTTATGGTTAACTTTCACTGTGGTTAGCGCCACGCCGTGGATTTTTTGACGTTGACAGTTGACGTCTCTACCCTTCGCAGCGTTGCCGGGTATTGTTTATCCATAGATTTGCGTACTAGTTATTAGATGTAAACAATAATAAGGCAACAAAAAAAAAACGCTAGTAAAGAAGATATCTGCGATTTTATTGTCGTCATCATACGAGTATTTGTTCATTTTGCTGCATAATATGGGGGTTTTCGACGATTTGAGTGGCATTTTAAATGATATCTAAACGAACATTCTTATCTTGTTTGATATTTTTGCAGTCACCTTGAAGGAACATTTTTCTGTCTTCGAGGGTGCGTTGTTTCTCCAGCAAGCGGTAACAAATAAGAGCAGTTAATAATTACCTTTTTTATTTATTACCGCGGCCAGCTGGACGTGTTAAGTAATGGCACGGCAGATGTGTACAGCTTCAAAACGCAACGCGTCAAAATTATCATAAAATTCGTGAGCGAGCCAATACACGCTCATTATCTTCACTGTTTTGATACTTATTGGCGTTCTAATGCCGGTTGGTAGCATTTTGAAACGGTAAATAGATCAAAAAGTTGTATATGGCCTCGGGAAGAGTGAAAGGAAGATCGTAAAGGAAAATTGATGGCTGTCGATAATATTTTGAATGAAACATCTGGATACTGATGCGTCATCGGTGGAAATTCTATTTGATAATAATAGATTTGTCCCTACGAGCAGTTCCGAACTAGAATTACGAATTACTTTCCTGCGCATGTCCGGGGTACAGTTAAGATTATTGTGTTAGAACAGATAACTAGATTCTTTTGAATTCAAAACAATTCTTCACCTTACATCATTCATAATATCACAAAAAGCTATTGTTCTATCATCTCCACAATATTAGTCTTTGGTAAATGGTCCTTCAAGTAAATCCAAAGTTCTTGCATATACACTGTACTCATTTCCATGGCTCCAACCAAAAACGGTCTTCCTCCAAATTTTCTGAAATCCCTCTGATATTTGTCCAAAGTTCCATAATCTGTCCAAAGATTCGTGATACTGGTATGATTGATTCCAGCCTTGCCGGCCAAAACACCAGATACAAATATATCGTCAATCCAGAAGAGCTTGACGTCTTCCTTTTGGGCCTCCCGGTATATCGCAGTCACGGCTGCTTTCGGGTAGATTATGAAGAAGCCAAAACAATGCTTGATGTAGTACTTGCCTGGGTACATTTCTTCAGACACCTCGCAAACGAAAAAATCGAGTCAGTATCATGGGCACAAGCAAACATTCATCTCGGGGGGCTGAACATCGGGAAGAGATAACTTTTTTAGGTGTTCATCAAGTCAAGTACCTTCATATTTTCTCGATATATTTTTAGGAAATATTTGATTGGACTTGAAAATGAAGTTATGTAGTTGGAACGTTGATCTCAACTTGCTTTGAGGTCAAAAATTTTCAAATTACAAAAAATTCTGAAGCAATGCGCTACGGGGTATTCCAGCCATCGAGGGCGAAGCCGGTCCTGGCCGAGATGGATGAGCCAAGCAGTGTTGCCAGGTCGATCTGTTTTCGGCAGATTTATGATAATTTTTTCGGTAGATGTCGGTAGACGTCACTCCACAGAGCAAACACTTTCCGGTTATTGAAAATCGCTTTAGCTGTACTCGGTTTAGTTCCAAAAGTTCCATAATCTGTCCAAAGATCCGTGATACTGGTATGATTGATTCCAGCCTTGTCGGCCAAAGCACCAGATACAAATATATCGTCAATCCAGAAGAGCTTGACGTCTTCCTTTTGGGCCTCCCGGTATATCGCAGTCACGGCTGCTTTCGGGTAGATTATGAAGAAGCCAAAACAATGCTTGATGTAGTACTTTCCTGGGTACATTTCTTCAGACACCTCTCAAACGAAAAAATCGAGTCAGTATCATGGGCACCGGCAAACATTTATCTCGGGGGGCTGAACATCGGTAAGAGATAACTTTTTGGAAAAATCTACAGACGCCAAAACAAGGTTTTCCTAGCAGGGAACCAAATGCTAAGAAGCCTCAGAATTGGCTGCGTATTGTTAGGTGTTCATCTAGTCGAGTACCTTGATATCTTCTCGATATATTTTCAGAAACTATTTGATTGGACCTGAAAATGAAATTATTTAGTTGGAACGTTGATCTCAACTTGCATTGAGGTCAAAAATTTTCAAACTACAAAAAATTCTGAAGCAATGCGCTACGGGGTATTCTAGCTATCGAGGGCGAAGCCGGTCCTGGCCGAGATGGTTGAGCCAAGCAGTGTTGCAAGGTCTATATGTTTTCGGCAGATTTGTGATAATTTTTTCGGTAGATTCCGGTAGACGTTACTCCACAGAGCAACCACTTTCCGGTTATTGAAAATCGCTTTAGCTGTACTCGGTTTTGTTCCAAAAGTTCCATAATCTGTCCAAAGATTCGTGATACTGGTATGATTGATTCCAGCCTTGCCGGCCAAAACACCAGATACAAATATATCGTCAATCCAGAAGAGCTTGACATCTGCTATTTGGGCATCCCGGTATATCGCAGCCACGGCTGCTTTCGGGTAGATTATGAAGAAGCCAAAACAATGCTTGATGTAGTACTTTCCTGGGTACATTTCTTCAGACACCTCTCAAACGAAAAAATCGAGTCAGTATCATGGGCACCCGCAAACATTTATCTCGGGGGGCTGAACATCGGTAAGAGATAACTTTTTGGAAAAATCTACAGACGCCAAAACAAGGTTTTCCTAGCAGGGAACCAAATGCTAAGAAGCCTCAGAATTGGCTGCGTATTGTTAGGTGTTCATCTAGTCGAGTACCTTGATATCTTCTCGATATATTTTCAGAAACTATTTGATTGGACTTGAAAACGAAATTATGTAATTGAAACGTTGACGCTCAACTTGCTTTGAGGTCAAGCATTTTCAAACTACAAAAAATTCTGAAGCAATGCGCTACGGGGTATTTCAGCCATCGAGGGCGAAGCCGGTCCTGTCCGAGATGGATGAGCCAAGCAGTGTTGCCAGGTCGATCTGTTTTCGGCAGATTTGTGATAATTTTTGCGGTAGATTCCGGTAGACGTCACTCCACAGAGCAAGCACTTTCCGGTTATTGAAAATCGCTTTAGCTGTACTCGGTTTTGTTCCAAAAGTTCCATAATCTGTCCAAAGATTCGTGATACTGGTATGATTGATTCCAGCCTTGCCGGCCAAAACACCAGATACAAATATATCGTCAATCCAGAAGAGCGTGACGTCTTCTTTTTGGGCCTCTCGGTATATCGCAGTCACGGCTGCTTTCGGGTAGATTATGAAGAAACCAAAACAATGCTTGATGTAGTACTTTCCTGGGTACATTTGTTCAGACACCTCTCAAACGAAAAAATCGAGTCAGTATCATGAGCACAAGCAAACATTTATCTCGGGGGGCTGAACATCGGTAAGAGATAACTTTTTGGAAAAATCTACAGACGCCAAAATAAGGTTTTCCTAGCAGGGAACCAAATGCTAAGAAGCCTCAGAATTGGCTGCGTATTGTTAGGTGTTCATCTAGTCGAGTACCTTGATATCTTCTCGATATATTTTCAGAAACTATTTGATTGGACTTGAAAATGAAATTATGTAATTGAAACGTTGATGCTCAACTTGCTTTGAGGTCAAGCATTTTCAAACTACAAAAAATTCTGAAGCAATGCGCTACGGGGTATTCTAGCCATCGAGGGCGAAGCTGGTCCTGTCCGAGATGGATGAGCCAAGCAATGTTGCCAGGTCGATCTGTTTTTGGCAGATTTGTGATAATTTTTGCGGTAGATTCCGGTAGACGTTACTCCACAGAGCAACCACTTTCCGGTTATTGAAAATCGCTTTAGCTGTACTCGGTTTTGTTCCAAAAGTTCCATAATCTGTCCAAAAATTCGTGATACTGGTATGATTGATTCCAGCCTTGCCGGCCAAAACACCAGATACAAATATATCGTCAATCCAGAAGAGCTTGACGTCTTCCTTTTGGGCCTCCCGGTATATCGCAGTCACGGCTGCTTTCGGGTAGATTATAAAGAAGCCAAAACAATGCTTGATGTAGTACTTTCCTGGGTACATTTCTTCAGACACCTCTCAAACGAAAAAGTCGAGTCAGTATCATGGGCATAAGCAAACATTTATCTCGGGGGGCTGAACATCGGTAAGAGATAACTTTTTGGAAAAATCTACAGACGCCAAAACAAGGTTTTCCTAGCAGGGAACCAAATGCTAAGAAGCCTCAGAATTGGCTGCGTATTGTTAGGTGTTCATCTAGTCGAGTACCTTGATATCTTCTCGATATATTTTCAGAAACTATTTGATTGGACTTGAAAATGAAATTATGTAATTGAGTCGTTGACGCTCAACTTGCTTTGAGGTCGAGCATTTTCAAATTACAAAAAATTCTGAAGCAGTGCGCTACGGGGTATTCTAGCCATCGAGGGCGAAGCCGGTCCTGGCCGAGATGGATGACCCAAGCAGTGTTGCCAGGTCGATCTGTTTTCGGCAGATTTGTGATAATTTTTTCGGTAGATTCCGGTAGACGTTACTCCACAGAGCAACCACTTTCCGGTTATTGAAAATCGCTTTAGCTGTACTCGGTTTTGTTCCAAAAGTTCCATAATCTGTCCAAAGATTCGTGATACTGGTATGATTGATTCCAGCCTTGCCGGCCAAAACACGAGATACAAATATATCGTCAATCCAGAAGAGCTTGACGTCTTCTTTTTGGGCCTCCCGGTATATCGCAGTCACGGCTGCTTTCGGGTAGATTATGAAGAAGCCAAAACAATGCTTGATGTAGTACTTGCCTGGGTACATTTCTTCAGACACCTCTCAAACGAAAAAGTCGAGTCAGTATCATGAGCACAAGCAAACATTTATCTCGGGGGGCTGAACATCGGGAAGAGATAACTTTTTTAGGTGTTCATCAAGTCAAGTACCTTCATATTTTCTCGATATATTTTTAGGAAATATTTGATTGGACTTGAAAATGAAATTATTTGGTTGAAACGTCGATCTCAACTTGCTTTGAGGTCAAAAATTTTCAAATTACAAAAAATTCTGAAGCAATGCGCTACGGGGTATTTTAGCCATCGAGGGCGAAGCCGGTCCTGGCCGAGATGGATGACCCAAGCAGTGTTGCCAGGTCGATCTGTTTTCGGCAGATTTGTGATAATTTTTTCGATAGATTCCAGTAGACGTTACTCCACAGAGCAACCACTTTCCGGTTATTGAAAATCGCTTTAGCTGTACTCGGTTTTGTTCCAAAAGTTCCATAATCTGTCCAAAGATTCGTGATACTGGTATGATTGATTCCAGCATTGCCGGCCAAAACACCAGATACAAATATATCGTCAATCCAGAAGAGCGTGACGTCTTCTTTTTGGGTCTCCCGGTATATCGCAGTCACCGCTGCTTTCGGGTAGATTATGAAGAAGCCAAAGCAATGCTTGATGTAGTACTTTCCTGGGTACATTTCTTCAGACACCTCTCAAACGAAAAAATCGAGTCAGTATCATGGGCACAAGCAAACATTTATCTCTGGGGGCTGAACATCGGTAAGAGATAACTTTTTGGAAAAATCTACAGACGCCAAAACAAGGTTTTCCTAGCGGGGAACCTAATGCTAAGAAGCCTCAGAATTGGCTGCGTATTGTTAGGCGTTCATCTAGTCAAGTACCTTGATATCTTCTCGATATATTTTCAGAAACTATTTGATTGGACTTGAAAATGAAATTATTTAGTTGGAACGTTGATCTCAACTTGCTTTGAGGTCAAAAAATTTCAAATTACAAAAAATTCTGAAGCAATGCGCTACGGGGTATTTCAGCCATCGAGGGCGAAGCCGGTCCTGTTCGAGATGGTTGAGTCAAGCAGTGTTGCCAGGTCGATATGTTTTCGGCAGATTTGTGATAATTTTTTCGGTAGATTCCGGTAGACGTTACTCCACAGAGCAACCACTTTCCGGTTATTGAAAATCGCTTTAGCTGTACTCGGTTTTGTTCCAAAAGTTCCATAATCTGTCCAAAGATTCGTGATACTGGTATGATTGATTCCAGCCTTGCCGGCCAAAACACCAGATACAAATATATCGTCAATCCAGAAGAGCTTGACGTCTTCTTTTTGGGCCTCTCGGTATATCGCAGTCACGGCTGCTTTCGGGTAGATTATGAAGAAGCCAAAACAATGCTTGATGTAGTACTTTCCTGGGTACATTTCTTCAGACACCTCTCAAACGAAAAAATCGAGTCAGTATCATGGGCACAAGCAAATATTGAACATCGGTAATAGATAACTGTTTTCCGAGCAGGGGACCAAATGCTAAGAAGCCTCAGAATTGCAAAGGAGAGGCTGTGTATTATTAGTTGTTCATCAAGTCGAGTACCTTGATAATTTCTCGATATATTTTCAGAAACTATTTGATTGGACTTGAAAATGAAATTATTTAGTTGAAACGTTGATCTCAACTTGCTTTGAGTTCAAAAATTTTCAAATTACAAAAAATTCTGAAGCAATGCGCTACGGGGTATTCTAGCCATCGAGGGCGAAGCCGGTCCTGTCCGAGATGGATGAGCCAAGCAGTGTTGCCAGGTCGATCTGTTTTCGGCAGATTTGTGATAATTTTTGCGGTAGATTTCGGTCACTCCACAGAGCAAATACTTTCCGGTTATTGAAAATCGCTTTAGCTGTACTCGGTTTCGAAACATTTAACATATAGAACATATATAAGTGATCTCTGGTTTGTTATATTTCGTTTGTTCTGATAGATTCTTCTAGGAAGGTTCGCCTTGAATCATTGACATACCTTCCACTTTCCAGATCTCATAACAGGACTTTTCTCCCTAGACAAGCACAAAATGTTGCTATTGTTGCTATACTTTCTATCATATAAGTCCAAAAACTGCTTCAAGTTTGGAGTGTTGACAAAGGTGTCGTCGTCTACTTTCACTAGGTACTTAATATTGGAACATTTATCTATTGCGAACTTCAAAGCCAGCACATGTTTGTACGTGATATTACAATAACTGTCTACGAAGTCAGCTTGTACGACGTCTTTGAATTCCGAAGCTTCACTGCTGATTTTCTTTTGTAGCAGTTCATCTAAAAGGTAACAACGTCTATGAAATAATAGCAGAACACAGAAATAAATTTGGAACTTTACTTTGAAAATTAAATCGTTTGGTCATCAGGATATCTTTTAAGGCCCTGGTATGCAATATACATTTTTTTGATAACAATCTTTATTCAAGAGTCAATTTTTACAAAGTTCTCTAATCTGTGTTTAGAACACTGGCCTCGAGGGCAACGAACACAATATTACAAGGTGCGAATACTAGCAATAGTAAGTTCAACAATGCAAGTAACTTTTAAGTATCTTTACAAAATCTTGTTCCATACCTTGGTGATAGATTATTATACATTTTTGTTGCTTTAGTGACAGGGCTACTTAATGCTGTATTAGATCTAGTCGGAGCCTGGTTCAAAGTGTGCCAAAAATTTATTTTTAATGTTTATTTTGCTTTTTTATAGTTAGTCACTTCGGTACAAAGCAGTTATCGTAGACGTTGACCAATTCAAATTCTCGTCTATATTTAATCACATGTATTTGCTTTTTCTATTTTATTCTACTGTTGACTATCTCTAAAAATTAAGCCAACACATCTCGGGGCTAACTAACATGCTGCTTAACCTACCTGTTGTATTTGCTAACAGAAAGAAGACCTTAATTCCAAACGACCTTTGACCCCATGTCGACCTTATAACATTCCTATTTTCTATATGTTCAGGACTTGTGTGTACAGCCACAAGATATCTGTCACTAGCAATGCATGATTCAGGTAGATGTTTATACTTGAAGTATATATCCAGCAACTTGTGATAATCACTGTTATCTTTTCGCTGATCTTGATTTGAAGATGAGTGAGTGAAAGGGCAAGGTTGGAGGTCTTCTTTTGCATAAACGCTTGATATTTCTATGTACGAGCGTAACATGAAGACTAATGTGACTCCAATGCTGAAGAAGAAGAAGAAGTAGGCATACCTTAACTTGTATAACTTTAGTCGATTTGACCACATGGGACACTGAAACAGAGAAACACAACAATCTGCATTTGTGACGTGCTCAAGGCCTAAATTGCCTCGCCTATAAACTTTAGTGACAGTGGCAGCCCATAGCGGCAGTGATAGGGTTAGCAGAAGTCAAACATTATCTTCAATAATAATGTTTATTTGCTTAAGTAACAATAAAATAAGTAGCAAATAAACGGTAAACCACACAGAGGTGGAACCCGGTTTGTGGGCTCACAAAATAACGATATGTAAATATTTTAAAACTAGTGTGTATGTTCATAAATTCGATAAGTATATTCTATTAACAATTATTATAAACATTTTTTATATCTGATAACTAAATGATTTTTGAGGATTTCTTCGATTTCATTTGGAATTTCTCTACAAAAAATCATTTTCCAGTCTTGGTAGCGTTTGACCAAGTTGCAGTGTGAAGTGCAACATACAGGGTGTTTCAGTTTATTGTTGCATAACTTTAAGATTCGATAGAACTTTTAAAATTAATCGAACCTTAAAAATCGAAATATCTCAAAAACGGCTAACTATAACGAAAATTCACAAGAGAGTTTTTTTATGTTGAAAAGTGCGAAGAATCAGTTTTTTTATACAAACAGCAAAAAATTTCACTAAGAAAAATTTTTCGGTCATTTTAATACACTACAGGTACAGTAGAGAGCGCCCTCTAGCGGCTACAGTAAAACTATGCCCATGGTTCGTTTTTTCGTACCAAAAAATCCTTGTATACCAATTTTCACTGTTATACATCAAATATTGTTCGGAATATTTAAAAAAAAAACTATTTTAGAAAGTAAATTTAAACACCCTGTATTTCGGAAGCCACGCATTTTTCGACCCATGTTTATATAGACTTTATGCATTAATTTTAAAAAAAGTTCTATCGAATCTTAAAGTTATGCAACAATAAACTGAAACACCCTCTAAACAGGTACCTACGTACTCCTTCAATAAAGCGTCTACTACATTAAAGAATTTCATATATGCGTAGCTTCATGGGCTAGACAAACATGGGAGATTATCGGCATGAAAGTCGCAGGATTTCTCAGATATTACGTTGAGATAAAATCAGTTTTTTCTGGTTAATTTCAGATAATAAACCCGACTTCCTGCCTTGATTCGGTAGATAATGATTTCTGCTTACCCACCTTTTTACAAATTATCGCCATCATAAATAGTGTTTGACTTCGTGCCCTATTAACATTGGTAATAAATCGTAAGGGTCCAACAGTTGCAATACATTTTATAAGACAGTTTGATCGGCTGCTGTCAAATTGGTCTTTTAAAAATTGGGTTACGCTGTACGTCACACATTGCCAAGTACACTGCATCACTGGATATGAGCCCAAGATTTCATACATTAAACACCCAAAATTGCATTTGCGTTAAATCCAGACCATAACAGTTTAATGATTTCCAGGCATTTTATTTTCTCAGCAGTTTTTCTTCTATTCGTATATAAATTACGTTTCGGCAGTATGATGTAAACGTTTAAAATTAAGTTTAAAATTTATGAAGTGATTTTAATAATGTCTAAACGCTCCCTCTTAAAAGATTTTTTCTTTTTCTTTGCCATCTCTCTCTTCCTCCTCTCCTTTTCTTAGTTTTTTCCTTAACATTGCCTGGTTTCTGGGTTACAAGACCTGGCATACTTACCTGATACCATGAAACAAAAGCTAAGGTCCTACGGACCGCACTGACAACCGATGTTGACTTATCTGTCAAAACAGACCGAAACCCATTTGTATAGAGTAACATATTCGTCCAAAAAATCCTTAAATCTGATTTGAAAGCTGAACCGTGACGTTTCAAAAAATTATGCTTACAACCATCCATACCTTCTTTATGCGCCAACGTTGCCACATCTCGGCTTGTCGATGCAGCTTAAGCGACTTAGGATGATATCATGCCTAAGAATAAAACAACTTTTTCGAAATGAAAATGAAGTCATATCTTATTACTTCTATGACCACTACGATTGAAATGGTACATTGGATATAATATTGTAACAGAAACACTATTTTTACTGTTCAAAGTCTGATTTATTACTCTAACACTGATTTATTACGCAACTAATTTATGACAAATTTGTAACCATACTGACTGGACTATCCCATGTTAGCTCGGCGCTCGACTGCCTCGTTTCCGCCAGCTCTGCCTGTATTTATTCCCCTATCGACGAAACGAGGAATACTCCAGCGTTTTCCAGCGGAGTCGTGAAGCTTCATGGGAGTCGTGTAGATACGAGGGTATTTCATTATTTAAACCTCCTAACACAGTATAGGATCGTGGAGGTTGAGAGAAAGAAAAGATTGGATACTTATACATCAGATGGTTGATATGCGAGACCGATTAGGTATTCCTTGTTTCATTTGTTAATTTCTTTCTACAAGTAATAATATCTTTTCCTGAATTTATTTGAGGTGCCTCGATAAGGTATAATTAGAGTTTCTTCTTGTCCTCTATCCAACAGCATGTTTAATAGTAACTTCTCTCTGATCATTAAGGACGCATCTCCCTTATAGCCGCATGATAGAGCATTAAACCCTTGTATATTCAGATTAGTCCCCGAAGAATGCCGAAAATGGAATATAGGCGCTTCATTTAAACTGGGTCTCACTTTTTATGCGAGTTTTTGCTCATTGAGGCAGGACCACCACATAAATTCTACAAAGTTTGTCGTCGCAATCTCTCGTTTGCGAATGGAGTTTTTTTAATGTTTGGCGTAATTTTAAAAATTCATGACCCGCGTCTATAAAAAGCCGGCCTTTTTGTTTTTTGCCATTCATAAAATCGCTCTTCGTTAGTCCACGGCGAGGCTTTACAAGTTCATTTCGATACACACGATGATCTAAAAAACTTGTTAGGAAGATTTGGCTTTTTGGTTGGTTTACCTTTTGTACCGAAGAGTGGCGCAGGTAGAAGCCTAAATGCCAGGGCATCGCAGCTGCTATGGGGAGCTTGAAGAAACTTTGTCATCCGATTTTTCAACTGCCTAAGATTTAGAGCAGAGAAAACAGCCATATTTGGATAACGTTACACTGATGACGGACAATTAGGCAGGAACAAAAACCAAAAATTCTGAAAATTCTGGAAAATCTAAAAAATCTGAAAAATCTGAAAATTCTGAAAATTCCGTAAATTCTGAAAATTCTGAAAATTCAGAAAATTCTGAAAATTCTGAAAATTCTGAAAATTCTGAAAATTCTGAAAATTCTGAAAATTCTGAAAATTCTGAAAATTCTGAAAATTCTGAAAATTCTGAAAATTCTGAAAATTCTGAAAATTCTGAAAATTCTGAAAATTCTGAAAATTCTGAAAATTCTGAAAATTCTGCAACTTCTGAAAATTCTGAAAATTCTGAAAATTCTGAAAATTCTGAAAACTGAAAATTCTGAACATTCTGAACATTCTGAAAATTCTGAAAATTCTGAAAACTGAAAATTCAGAAAATTCAGAAAATACAGAAAATTCAGAAAATTCAGAAAATTCAGAAAATTTAGAATATTCAGAAAATTCAGAAAATTCTGAAAATTCAGAAAATTCAGAAAATTCAGAATATTCAGAAAATTCTGAAAATTCAGAAAATTCAGAAAATTCAGAAAATTCAGAAAATTCAGAAAATTCAGAAAATTCAGAAAATTCTGAAAATTCTGAAAATTCTGAAAATTCTGAAAAATCTGAAAATTCTGAAAATTCTGAAAATTTTGAAAATTCTGAAAATTCTGAAAATCCTGAAAATCCTGAAAATTCTGAAAATTCTGAAAATTCCGAAAATTCCGAAAATTCTGAAAATTCAGAATATTCGGAAAATTCGGAAAATTCAGAAAATTCTGAAAATTCAGAAAATTCAGAAAATTCAGAAAATTCAGAAAATTCAGAAAATTCAGAAAATTCAGAAAATTCAAAAAATTCAGAAAATTCAGAAAATTCAGAAAATTCAGAAAATTCAGAAAATTCAGAAAATTCAGAAAATTCAGAAAATTCAGAAAATTCAGAAAATTCAGAAAAGAAAATTCAGAAAATTCAGAAAATTCTGAAAATTCTGAAAATTCTGAAAATTCCGAGAATCAGAACAAATCGAAAAAATGCCGAAAATTCCGAAAATTGATCTAAAAAACTTGTTACGAAGATTTGGCTTTTTGGTTGGTTTATTTTTTTGCATCGAAGAGTGGCGCAGGCAGAAGCCTAAATGCCAGGGCATCGCACCTGGTAAGAGGAGCTTGAAGAAATTTTGTCAACCGATTTTTAAACTGCCTAAGATTAGTAGAACAGGCAAAACAGCCATACTTGGATAACGTTACACTGATAACGGACAATTAAGCAGAAACACGTGTCTATATTATTTTTACATGTAAAATTACGACTGGAAAGGGCAACCATGCTTACTTCGTAATCAATAAATCGCAGATCTACCGTAATAATTATATAATAACCATATTTTTCTCTGTGTATCTCGTATATTTTATTGCCAAAATTCCCAGTCACTGAAAGTATCAGAATATGCGAACAATAGCTCCGAATATGGTCCCGAGTTCTATCAGACGTCAAAACGTAGTGGATACTCCTGAAATTCAAATCAATTGGTACTTTCAGCAGAATCCTAGTGACTGTTTAAACATTCGGAAAAATATAGTAAGTATTTAGAAACGCTGTACAATTCTCCAATCAAGAGACGCAGCAGTCCAAAGCATCCCAAACGTCCCAGAAATGCACCCTTTTTCGTGATCAGTAAGGTTTGGACTGTTAGCGCCAAAAGGGTGATAAAACGCTTCGTGACTTTACGAGTGAAACGTTTAATTGAAAAAGATCCAATTAGGATGCCGATTCAATACCAAACTGACAAATGACGGCGAAGGTCGCTTATTTACGACTTGTGATGTTATCGGCGGCTTCAGTAGTCGAGGTAATGTTCGAAGGTATGTTCGCTATTTTCATCTAGAATGCTTCTGTCTCCGGCATCCCGTTGCTAAGAAAAGGTTTTTTCTGGAGCAGTCTAGAAGACAAAGCCATGGAATCTAACGATTTGAAAGGCTTCCTCTGTTTCATATTGTTAACTCAAAAGTATTTGAAAACTTATATATTTTACCTTCAAAACCGACGCTGATGAAAGAATGAAAAAGAAATAAACAAAAATTATGATACTACATCCGATTTGGATATTTTCAATTTACTTGTGTCCAAAGCATCGCATACAATATTTTACACCTTTCACGCGTTACGTCACAAATCAATTAATCAACCGTATAATACTTTAATTATCCATATATGCATATTTATAAACGATGATGTTAAAAAAATGCTGAAGCTTTGTCTTAACTACCATTAATTGCATGCCGGCTTAATTTTTTGAACGGCAGCTTTCTTTTTAATTTTTATGGCTGTTTTCAATTTTATCGGGCGGTATAAAGTATTTAAATATTGTTCCTTTTTTGAAACAGGTATGGCGAGAAGATGAGATGAGATAATAAAAGTGTATTTATTGTTCTTGTACAAGAATGGGAGTTAGTTGCCTCTTTATTTGGTATTAATGAAAACCTTTATTCGACTTTTTAAGAATTCTCAATTAAACGTCTGATAATAAAACGACAGGACGACAATAAGCTTATTCGAGGTAGGCTAGTTCCTATTTCAGCTGGATGTGTTGCTAGTTCGAAATTTTTGTCACTCTACATCAGTGTAATCTTCTTCGTGACAGATTTTTCAAATTAGTAAAAATATCATCCACTCTCAGACAAGATCTTTCTATTAGTTCGTTCTTAAACACTCAAAAAGACGCCAACGTTTTCATTCATATAATCTTGACTTGATAGTGAGAAATACCCTTCGACGTCGCAGTATTCTCTTCGGTTAATAGTATATTATATACCTAGGTCAAATGTATTATTTTTCCTTTTATAGTCCTAAAATGAGATTTCCAAGTTTCAAATTTTTCAAAATATACAAAACTTTTTTTATAAATTTGCTAGGTTTTTACAATTTTCAGAATTTTAAAATTTTTTAAAAATTTCCAAAATTTACAAAATTTTCATGATTTTCAAAATTTTCAGAAACTCAAAATAATGTTACTGTTATCTAAAATGGTCTTCATATCCAAAGTATGACCTTTATCAGCAATGAATTTCACTTTTGTGAATGCAAACTCCTCAAGCCAGATTTGAAATGAAAATCTGGCAACGCTGTTTAGTTATTCATGTTCCATGATAACTGTCAATCTGAGTCTGAAATTCGAACCTCATTGAAGTACAAATATTTTTTGTTGCTTCAAATGAATAAAAAGTATTATAAAATGCAGACAATGTCTCTGTTGCATTCCCTACGCATTTTAGTGATTGTAAACAATGCTTTAAGTATAGTAAATTGGCGAATGAAATGAATTGCATTCATTGATCTCACATAAATTTTCATTGGTCGTAATGATGAATGAATTCAAGCATTGGCATTCACTACTGCGTTTTCCAGGAGGGTGAAAATAAAAGATTTGGGCATTCTGAGTTCATTTTTGCAAACATTTTCGTCACAGAAGCTTGCTATTTTGGTGGACAGAAAAAAATTTTAATATCAGGTAAAGATTCCATAGTAGCATATAGCTCGTTCACCATGTTTGTACAATAGATATCTTCTTGCATATTTTCACAGTTCATATTTCCAAAATTTACGGAATTTCCATGATTTCCAAAATTTCCAAAACTTTCCAAATTTCCAGAATTCCCATTGCCAAAATTTCAAAAATTTCCAAAATATTCAGTTTCCATGTCCTACATTTCTAAAATTTCCAAGATTTACAAAATTTCCAAAATTCCCAAAATTAACAAAATTTCCAAAATACCAAAATTTTCCCAATTTTCAAGATCTTCAAAATTTCCAATTAATATATCTAGAATTTTCAAAATCTCCGAAATTTTCAAAATTTCCAAGATTTCCGAAATTTCCAATATTTCCAGAATTTCCTTAATTTCTACAATTTCCAAGATTTCCAAAATGTCCAAAATTTCTAAAATACCCAATATTTACAAAATTTTACTTCTGCAAACACACACTGGGTATTTAGCAGTAAGTAAAGAATTGAATTAAAGAATCTCAAATTGCACAAGTATTCAGTATTACATGCAGTAGCAATTATTGGAAATTATCTGCTAACAATATCCTCTTTATTACTAATTACAAATGATACTAGGCGCAGTAGCCCCATTATAGATCCCTGAGGAACTTGAAATTAAGGCTGTTATTCTACATATATGATGAACCATTTGTAAAGGTTGATTGGAGGCCGTTACGGACGTTTCGGCTGCCACGTTAGCCTTGCCTAATCTTGGGTAGCAATGAACTTTTTCGTTTCGCATGTGGCTCACGTAAATTCCAAATCGACGCTGGCTGTCGCGAACATTCGAAACCAGATCCGAGATTTGTTAATTAAGAGACTCTTTGGGAATGGAAATGAGACGCAGCGCGGTGGCGCGCACTTTTACGACGGAATTCCGATCGGTATTAATGGAATCGCCGATGCAACTGAGTTAGTCCAGGATTCCAAAGAAAACGACGTCACGCGCGTCATCTCCGAATCTCACGCTTCGGGCATAACGGCTGACAGGGCAATACTGACGAGTTTTCCTACTAGAGAGAAGCTATAAAACGTGTCATTTGTACAAAAAATGGCATATTTGCATATAAGAGTACAGCGCAAAGACCGACTATAAATTTGGTAGATGAAACATCTGTTAAAAGATTCATAATGAAACCTAGGAATCTCTTAAATCTACTCGTAATATTAACAGCGGTGCGAAGCTTTATTTTATTATGAATAGATCTCATAGCTCACATTTTTGAATCTTTAAAAAATCCTGAAATGTTGATTCATAAAATTTTGAAAACTGAGAAAGTTCCAAAAATATTGAATATTTTGACAATTTGAATATTTTGAAAATCATCAAAATTTGGAAAATTATGAAAATTCTTTAAATTCTGAAAATTTTTAATATTCTGAATTTTCTGAAAATTTTGAAAATTCTGAAAATTCTGAAAATACTGAAAATTCTGAAAATTCTGAAAATTCTGAAAATACTGAAAAGTTCAGAAAATTCTAAAAATTCTGAAAATTCTGAAAATTTAGAAAATTCAGAAAATTCAGAAAATTCAAAAAATTCAGAAAATTCAGAAAATTCAGAAAATTCTGAAAATCTGAAAATTCAGAAAATTCAGAAAATTCTGAAAATCTGAAAATTCAGAAAATTCAGAAAATTCAGAAAATTCAGAAAATTCAGAAAATTCAGAAAATTCAGAAAATTCAGAAAATTCAGAAAATTCAGAAGATTCAGAAGATTCAGAAGATTCAGAAAATTCTGAAAATTCAGAAAATTCAGAAAATTCAGAAAATTCAGAAAATTCAGAAAATTCAGAAAATTCAGAAAATTCAGAAAATTCAGAAAATTCAGAAAATTCAGAAAATTCAGAAAATTCAGAAAATTCAGAAAATTCAGAAAATTCAGAAAATTCAGAAAATTCAGAAAATTCAGAAAATTTTGAAAATTCCGAAAATTCTGAAAATTCTGAAAATACTGAAAATTCAGAAAATCCAGAAAATTCAGAAAATTCAGAAAATTCTGAAAATCTGAAAATTCAGAAAATTCAGAAAATGTAGAAAATTATGAAAATTCTGAAAATTCAGAAAATTCAGAAAATTCAGAAGATTCAGAAAATTTAGAAGATTCAGAAAATTCAGAAAATTCAGAAAATTCAGAAAATTCAGAAAATTCAGAAAATTCAGAAAATTCAGAAAATTCAGAAAATTCGGAAATTCAGAAAATTCAGAAAATTCAGAAAATTCAGAAAATTCAGAAAATTCAGAAAATTCAGAAAATTCAGAAAATTCGGAAAATTTTGAAAATTCTGAAAATTCTAAAAATTCTGAATATTTTGAAAATTCTGAAACATCCGAAAATTCCGACAATTCTGAAAAATCTGAAATTTTTAAAATCTCATCAAAGTTCGAGCGGTTCTTAAGCACTATAGCCACTGGATTCCTCTGTAGCCTCTATAATAGCATCACTTTCCCCGAGGCGATCTGGATCCCTTTTTACGTCACATTTTCATGGACCGCCATTTGTCGATACAGAATTGCAACCCTCACGGTGGGGATCCTGGACTAGGTGGCCCGTGAAGTGCGCACCGATTAAAGTCAATGCGCGAATGTTCCGATGTTCGATATATCTGCATTATATAGACGTTCAACTTGGTGATCGAGGTGGCATAATGTTTTAATCGAAGTTGGCCTGGACCCCCACTGACGTCCAATTGATTTTGATCATATACAGGGTGTCCCAGGTACCACGTCAACTTTTTCAGTTATGGTCCAACTTGCACTTTGTTTTTCACTTGATGGCAATGTGGATGATTGAGATGTTGTTTCTGGGAGTTCCACTGTCTACAAGGTTTGACTTTTCATACCTTTGATGACGTGCACTTGTTTAATGTTTCTCACAATCGATTGCCATACTGCTTCAATATTGAATTTTCTACGACGCCAGTGTGTTTCTCTAGCATGCTCCCAAAGTATTAGATGGTGTTTTCCCAAGCCTGATCTTCTGTCCCAAAAAAGTGAAAAAGCGAAAACGTCTAGAGGAACTTCTGATGCACAGTATGTTTCATCAGGAGTTCCACAGGGTTCAGTGCTGGGACCTCTTTTATTCCTACTATACACTTTTGATCTGCATGAGTGTGTAAACATTGTTCTGTTCATTTGTATGCTGACGATACGCAACTATCATTTCGTTTTAATGGATCCAACTTACATCAAGCGTGGTATGAAATTAACCAAGATGTTGGTAACATATTGTAATAGGTACTGTCTCCGCATCAATGTACCATGCTATCCTAAATATTCAAATTGCATATCACAAGTCGAGGCTCCTTATTTATCAACGCCATTCGTAGGTGCTTTCGTCCGGTCGATAAAATAAACGTTTGTAAAAAAGCAAGAAAGCGCAGTTTTGATGTTTCTTAAAATACTTGTATAATCTAGTGCGTACATCGAAATTTGTTAAAAATCGATAACAACGCACAATAATAACCTAATACCTGTTATCATTCCGTAGTCCAGAATTATTATCAATATGATTAAAAAGGTATAAATGGTAAAGATAACGTCGTACATGTTACCAGTATTATTTATCAAAGTGGAACCATGAGTGTTTCAAGCAATGTGATTGCCTAATACGAACAAAAGGTATGTGCTCATCGTTTTCTTTAGTAGCGTGAGCTTTACTATCACAGATAATTTTAACTATACATGTTTAAAGTTCAACGTCAAAGCCTTCTGTTATGTTTCATATTTATATATCTCATTCTGTACATGTAAGTATGTCATGTATTTTTATATGCTATTTTGAACACAGTTTTCATTTTTTGATATTCCATTTGATGTTATTTTATTGTAGTTTTATTACGCATAATTTGATATTACAACATTTTCTGTCAAGTGAAATATACAGATTGTTCTAAATTTATAAAATCACACATTTATTTATAAAAACTAATATTATACATAATTTACGTAAATACCTATTGTACATTGTGCCTGTATTCATTATAGATTGATGAAAATGCTTGCTTTTTATACTGTAGCATACTTCTCAAATCAGTTATGGGTGGAACCAAACGAAAGTGATCCTATTTGCATTTTAAAAATTCTCAAAATAGTATTTTAAAAATTTTGGAGGTTTTCAAAATTTTCATAATTTTTTTCTTCTTTTTCACAATTTTTGGTTTTCAAAACTTTTAGAATTTTCAAGGTTTCCAAAATTTTCAAAATCCTGATGGTTTTCAAGATTGTCAGAATTTTAAAAACATTTTAAATTTCCAATGTTGACAGTTTTAAAAAATTTTAAAATCTTCCAAATTTTCAAGATTTTCAAATTTTAAATGATTTATGAAATCTTCAAAATTGTCAATTTTGTTTTTTTAGAATTCTCAAGATTTTCAAAATATTCAGAATTTTCGAAATTTTCAAAATTATGAAGGTTTTTAAGATCATCAAAACATTTAAAACCCTCAAAATTTCCAATTTTTTCATTTTTCAAGATTTTCAAGATACTCAAAATTTTCAACGTCTATAAATGTAACCCTTAACAATGCTTAAACATGATCTTTTGGTTTTCGGTTTTGCAGACTGTCCTAGAAATATTGCGATTATTTTTTGTCATCCTGTATATCTCATACAGAGCAACCATAAATCTGGCTTGTAACCAGGCAGAATGAGCTTCAATAAGATGAGACCTCTCCTCTACTGCACAGGAGCCACAGTTATTTTCCTTCTATATTATGTGTATCTCGAAAAGTTAGGAACGTACAAGATCGAACAGCAGCAAACCTTCTATCCGCCTTCCAACAGAAATTTTCTTCGGAACATTAACGATGGTTACCATAAGCTGCTGAATATCCACTTTCGCTATAAACATATTCCAGAATTGTGTAATGAAAGTGACAGATATGTGATAGGTGTAATCTCCAGTCCTGATCATCTCGAAAATAGGAATATTATCAGATTGACATGGGGTCAGAAGGCTCTGGGTATCAAGGTCTTCTTTCTAATTGCAAACACAACAGGTAAGATTTGAAAAGCGTGATCAGGAAATTGAAAAATATGCCATTTTTGGGGGGCCAAGTGGAGACTGAAAATTCGGAAGTCGTCGAAACTTCAAAGAAAATGTGAGTTCTGAAAATTTAGATAACTTCAAAAACTGTAAAAACTAAAAATTTTGACTTAAACATTTCTACATCTTCTGAAAATTATAAATATATTTATAACTGAAAATTTTGACCTGTTAGAACCTGCTGTTATTGATAAACGTATTCCTAAACGTGTATTTCTAAATTCACTTTTTAATTCTGTTACTGTCTCACAGATGACTCAAGGACTTTTCAGATCGCTTCTTGGGCGCCGAAATACAGCATATGTTTGAGTCTCCTCAGATAGATTACTCAAACCAAAAAATTTGTTTTGATGATTTTTTTCCAGATGAAGCATTGCAATTAAGCATCAACAGTGAGTCTTTAGCATTCAGAGATATCGTCCAAGGCGATTTCCATGATTCGTACCAAAACCTCTCGTACAAACATGTAATGGCCTTGAAAATGGTCGAGGATAATTGCCCAAATATTAAATACTTGGTCAAAGTTGATGATGATACTTTTGTCAACACACCAAACCTGAAAGAGTTTCTCGATCAGTACGATCAAAAATATGGAAATAGCAGCAACCTCCTTTGTAATATTATGGAATATAGTCCTGCCTTAAGAGATGGGAGATGGAAGGTATAAAATAACATTATTATATTCTAAAATATATATATATATATATATAACTTGAGACGTGGTCATTGTCGTCTAGACCAGTTAGGTGAAAAATTAAAGCTTCCGCCTTTTGTTGGGTACTTCGACAAAATTTAAGCAAAGAGGACTCTTTATACTTTTTTAATTCTCTCTAGCTTTCAATGGACTTTGCCATCATCATCAGGAGCTGCAATTACAATGATAACAGTAGCAACAAAAGTGTAAAATGAATTTAAATTGAATCAACTTACAGTAGTATGTGAGGATGTTGCTAATTGTTGTTTACGTATAGGATGAAGGAAACGTCCAGTAACATGGTGAGAGCTGGATACATGGTACAATGGTTAAAATTATATAAAATATGACAAGACAAGTTAAAGACAGATTAAAAATTATTTAGAAAACATTAGAGCATTACGTCGTGAAGCCACTTGATGATTGCACAAAATGGTGGTCATGGAATAATGAGTGAGATGAACCTTTGACAGAAGGCCGAAGGTTGTCAATGTCTGTGTTGAAAGATGGAACGAATTGTGGGCGTGTGCCAAAACGTTGCCAAATCACTTCAGATGATGTGATTTTTAGAATGTTATGTAAGAAATTGTTAAACCGACCAGAGGCAGTTGACTAAACCATATTTTAATTAATGGGAATTTTAAATTAATAATTATTAATAAATCACAACCATAAATATAATCTGTGTTTTGGCCGATTCCACCAACAAATTTCATACCACTCAAAATCTAATAATTCTCTTCTCACGATTTATTAATAATTATTAATTTAAAATTCCCATTAATTAAAATATGGTTTAGTCAACTGCCTCTGGTCGGTTTAACAATTTCTTACATAACATTCTAAAAATCACATCATCTGAAGTGATTTGGCAACGTTTTGGCACACGCCCACAATTCGTTCCATCTTTCAACACAGACATTGACAACCTTCGGCCTTCTGTCAAAGGTTCATCTCACTCATTATTCCATGACCACCATTTTGTGCAATCATCAAGTGGCTTCACGACGTAATGCTCTAATGTTTTCTAAATAATTTTTAATCTGTCTTTAACTTGTCTTGTCATATTTTATATAATTTTAACCATTGTACCATGTATCCAGCTCTCACCATGTTACTGGACGTTTCCCTCATCCTATACGAAAACAACAATTAGCAACATCCTCACATACTACTGTAAGTTGATTCAATTTAAATTCATTTTACACTTTTGTTGCTACTGTTATCATTGTAATTGCAGCTCCTGATGATGATGGCAAAGTCCTTTGAAAGCTAGAGAGGATTAAAAAAAGTATAAAGAGTCCTCTTTGCTTAAATTTTGTCGAAGTACCCAACAAAAGGCGCAAGCTTTAATTTTTCACCTATATATATATATATATATATATATATATAGATATCCAACGAACCGGTAGCTCTGGATTTATTACTGTTTTAGTCCTCAAGATGCATTGGAATCCTTGTAAAGAACTCATCGATTCATTTCAACGATCTATATTTTCTTCTTTAAGGTGTCCGTGGAAATGTTTTCTGGAGAATACTACCCGAAGTACTGTTCTGGCTACTTCATCATCTATCCAATGGCAGCCATATCAGCCATATACCGAGAATCTCAAAATGAAAATGTCAAATTCCTTTGGGTGGATGACGCATTCGTATCAGGTATGAAACTTTTGAAAATAAATTCTGGTTCACCGCACGGCTTACGTCTAAAAGACATGCCACCGTTTTAGATCATGTCTTTCTTGATAAGTTGCGTATTTTTATCAGGCGTTTTAGCTGAAAAAGCCGGAATCAACCATACCAGCGTAAGGAAACTGTCACTGGATTACGTGAATGTGACAAAATTCATGGAAGACTTTGAAGAATTTGGAGGCAGACCCTTCCTGGTAGGCAGGATGAATTTAGACACCGGAGACTTGAAAACGCTATGGGCGTTCTTGAAAGACCACGTGCCAAAAACTAATATCCTGGAGAGACTAGAGTTGCACCATCTGTGATATTGTAGTTCTGATAAGTTTAAATAAAACTTAAGCAAATAATGGTAGGTGCTCTTAATAAACGCACAATGACTCATACAATCTCGTATTTTTTGTAAAATTTGACGCCAACGCTTGTTCGAATCATGCGCCAGAAAAAACGCTAATCCTTATCTAATTGCTTATTATCGATGAAAAGCTGTACCTGCTCATAAAAAATAGCACGCTAATTTATAACAAAGCGTCAAATAGTCGATCGAATCGAATGAATTCAGTCATTCGTTCCTCTCTATTATTCCTTTATTTTGTTGTGTTGAGCCGACGAGATACAACAATGGACCCCGAGAGGGTAGTACTCGCCTGATGGATGGTGGTGCCAGTTAGTGCTATGATGAGACGATACGCCGATCGATGTGGGAACAAAGGCTTTTTTATATTAGGGTTGATCGTTAGGTAAGCACGAAAATACGGAAACTGTTTGTTCGCTATCTAATATGTGCGCGCAAAAAAAATGAAGAGACGATATACGAGGGACACGCGAAAAGAAATGGCAATGAAATTTCGTGAGAATGATATCGTTTCGTTCTTGGTGTTAAACCCAAAACGTTTTTGATGTCCGCATACTTTTTTAGCCCGCAGATTTTCCTGAGCCCAGTAACTAGTGTCGCGGCGATTAAATATACAATTATTGGTGACCATACTCTAACCCAGAGTCCCCCAAACTTTTTTGTGTCGTAGACCTCTTGCCATGTTTTTCCGTGTTTCTAACTGTAGTGAAGTTTAGTGTTAAAAACTTAAGGTAAAAACACATGTTAATCTATTCATTTATTAATTGAATTTAAATTAAAACTACTCAAAATAAAATTTTGTATCTGTTATGTAAAATATACTTAACATTAAATAAACAGGTGTCTGACCAATAAGTGCCCGCATTGGGAATAAGTGCCCGCATTGAAAAAAAAATAAGAGGAATAAAATAAAAAAAAGTGAAAAATAATAAAAAAAAAGTTTTTTACTTAAAATAGTACAATAAGCGAGTTCGTTTATTAATTATAACATAAACGTATGTTCTATAATAATTTCACTGTTAGTTTGATTAAATTCCGCTTCTCATACGTTCAAGTGATCTAAAAATAGTCAAAAGTTAACGAATTTTAGTGTGTACCTATCCTTGAATTTTCAGAATAATTAAAAAAAAAATATTTTCTATAAAGGGGGGTTCTTTAAAAAAATCAATGCGGGCACTTATTCGCAATGCGGGCATTTATTGGTCAGACACCAATAAACATAAAATAAACTATAAATGAAATAACATTAGCAATAAGTCAATATTTTTAGTGAGAAGGATGAACCTGATGCTTTAATAATAAATTATCAACATTTGGCGTCAATTTTGTAAAGGTTAATCTTAAATCTCCTCGGCTAATGAAGTCCAGTCTGTTTCTTTTTTTCGTTTTTAAACTGAACCTTAAGTTCTTCGTTTGTACTTAGTTCAGTCAGTTCCTCTTGTATTATGACATTCGTTTCTTCTATGTCACCATATGGATTAATTATCTACGGTGATATTACCATAGTCAAAATATCCTCAAACCTAGATTCAAAATCTGAATAGAGGGCATTTAAATGTTGAACGTAAGTTGAAGCGTAGTCTTCCTGGCAGCTTGTCTGTGACAAATTAGGGAACTGAGAAAATTCGCCCCGTCCAATATTTTGCTTCATTAGTTTAACTTTGGCAAGAAACGCTGATAAGATGGACTTTGTTTTAATCAAATTTAAACTTGTCGCCTTATAATTGCAAATTAACCATATTAAATTTTGTAAACAAATCTGTTAAATAGGCGATGTTTGTTTTCCTCTTCATTAAATTTTCTTTTAAAATTTTATCTATAGTATCCAGACATTCTAAAATAGTCTCAAAAAGTGCAAAAAATCTTGTCAAACATGAGCCATTCGACAGCCAGCGTACTTCAGTGTGAAGGAGTAATTGATGAAAGTGTTCGTCATTTTCTTCACACAACTGCGCAAATAACCGCGTATTCAACGCGTTGCTTCGGATTCGGTTTACTGCATCAATGACTAAATGAAGTGATTCATGCAATCTAACACTCAAATTTTTAGCAACTAAATGTTGTCGATGGATGACGCAATGTATTGCTAACACCCCTGACACATTTTGTTTTAAATAGCTTATAAATCCACGATAACGTCCAACCATGGCAGGTGCTCCATCCGTAGCTACTGGTATTATATTTGATAAAGGAATTGCTTTTTCAATGAAGTAATCCTTCAAAACATGTAATATTGATTCACCTTTACTGTCGGTTATCAAAGTTCTTGCGAAGAGCAGTTCTTCGTAGATTTCTTGATTCATAATAAAACGAACACATGCCAATAATAATGCTGCATTATCAGGTAAAGTTGACTCGTCCAGTTGTATAGAGAAATGGGTCGTTTGCAAATAATTACATAAGAAGCTTTCAATATCAGAACTCATTTCATCAATACGTCTTTCAACAGTATTGTTGCTTAAGGGAATTCTTTTAATGATATCAGATGCAGGTTTGTGTAAAACAGTTTTTAAAACCTCTTCAACAGCTGGCAAAATTAACTTCTCTCCGATAGTATGCGGTTTTCCGGATTTTGCTATAAGTAACGAGATATTGTAAGACGCCCGCAAACCATCATCATTTCTTTGTGACGTCGAAGCGAACATTCTGTCCAGTGTAGGTCTCTTCTGAAATTTATCTTTGAGTGTTTGAAAGTATTTCAAATCTTTCTCTGTTTTATCAGGGTGGCATCTTCTCAGATGATCTTGCAGTTTAGATGGTTTCATAGCGTCATTGCCCAAAACTTTGTTGCATAAAAGGCACATAGGCGATTGTTTGTCCGGCAATGATGGAATGAAGCCAAATTTCAAATAATCAACACTGTACTGTCTACATTTCTTTTTAGGTTCGGACATGGCATCAGTCATCTGTTAAATTATTTAAATAAGACAGAAAATCTAGCAGCTGTACATTAAAAATATTTTTTGATTTTTCCGAAAACATTCCATAATTCGAACATTTTGCAACAATTAGCTCGAATTACGGAGATTGCACTGTAATTATATTATTATTAAACTATTGAGGAGTACTCGTGTAATTTTGCATAATTGAATATTTAACTGCTAATAACTAAAGTCATGATTGGCGTAATTTATCTATCTTTCTACGAGTACAAAACTAAAATTTAATAAAAAATAATGTACTTACTTTTCTCCAGCACTCTCAAACAAAATAACACTGACTCACTATAATTTGTGTGATATACTATCTGTTTATATTTTTTAAAATATTTTCTCAGCACTTTCCTTTTCAAGATTCAGGAAACGAATAAACGTATTTGTCCCACATTCGTATTTATAGAGTGACGAAGCTCTGAGACTGCGACTCTCAGGTTTTTACAAGTTCAAAATGTATTGCGACCACAAAGCGAATACGAACATCCTACAACTTACACTATTTATAAACATATATAATAAATTTTTTACTTCATAGGTACTTTTATAAATAATGTATATGTTTTGATATTATAAGATAGTATGATGTGTGTAAATAGGTACCATCAGTGTATGTGTTGAGATCCACTATCGTGGACCCCCATATTCATTTCATGGACCCCAAATTTTTTTTCGCTGACGTCGACCCCTTGCAGGTTGTCATAGACCCCCGGGGTCGATATAGACCACTTTGGGAATCCATGCTCTAGTCGGACCATATTATTTTTGAAGCGAAATTGTCCTTGGCAAATCCTGAATTTGTGAGGGTGATATCTATATTTGCGACTATCCTTTTTTATCAGAGCAGCTAACTTACGCCAAACTTTAAGACATCGTTGCCTGGTAAGTGAAGACTCAACCTAATCGACGACACTGTATTGATAATAAATCGTAAATTACCTCAGTCGTGAGAACCGAAGCCGCAGAAGGGTACCTGCCCCATTCAAAAATCTCGCCCCAAAGTTATAAATATGCCAATCTCGGCACTTCTGACCAGCTGGAATTTTTGTTATTTTAGTAAATGAACCACAGGGCTACCGTTCGACGTAATTAAAAATGGCGAGAGTCCTTTTTTGATCGGCGTGCCGTTCAAAGGGCGCGGCGCTTTCATCTGCGCCGATGCCGAGACTAATTTCGGGAGCTTGAAAGGGCCGCGAGGTTCATTTTTATACCCTTGAAGTGCTTATTAGCAGGACAGTGCCATCGGTCGGCTAATTGCGGACGGTAGGTGAGAACGTTTTGTTAGCGGGTCGGTATAAAAAAGTCGTTTCTTTGGTTCAGATCAGCGGTCGCAAACCCGATCGCTCGCAAAGGCAATTCTGGTGGCTCACGACATATTTTAAAAAGGTGTAGAAATCGTTGGAGCTTCCGTAAATTTTGTAAATTCTCGTAATAAATACAAGCAGCGGCAACACTGCGGTGAGCGATCTGTTCGGGAACGATCTCGATTACTCGCGGCGACAGTGAACGGACAAAGTTGGGTTAGAGATGGCCCGCAATTAAAAACATTATGAGCAGTAGTAAGAGGATGAAGGCTCAAGAATGGAAGATCAATATTTCTTTACAGAAGTTAGTTAGTTACCTTTATTAAATCGTATGTGGCATTCCACTGTTGCTGACGAAAAATTTTGCTTATTTTTCAAACGCCTACGATTGGTAGGAATGGATATAGTTATGTAGTATGTATTGGTTATTAGTTTATTTGAGTTTATCAGTATGTATCAGTATTAACACATGTACGTCGCATACAAAGTATCTCAACACGCTGAAAAGGTTGACGACCACTGGTTTAGATGATTGCATAGGTGTAAACCGCTATCTACAAACAAGAATTAATGCTTGTTCCTAAGACGCCAGTGCTTGTAATAAAGCAGCCACGAAGACAAGAATCTAAGTGCAGGAGCACCAGAATTTCGGAATTTTTTATACGTACGATTAGAATTCCTACCGATCTCTTGAAAACGGGGTATCACTTCGATATTCGGTTTCAGACATGTTATAAGTAAGATTGTGCTTATATTTTTGAACGATGTGCTTTAAATCTTTGTGAAGTCGATAGAATAAGCTTGCTACTGTACTTATATAATTGGATTTTTCAAAAAGATTTGGCACCACAAAACTGTGGCCTTGAACTTATTTTGCAATCACTTAAGTCTTCTTAGGCAAAGCGTTATTCATAGTAGAGCTGAAACAACAAAAATAACATCGCGAGTTCCTCAGGGTTCCGTTTTAGGACCATTGTTGTTCATTATATACACATATGATACCTAAAAATTTGTATAGTACGATGTCTTACCACTACGGTGTTTGTAATAAGAATGGTATAAAATTCCAGTGTCTCAACCATCACGAGCTCTTGACTGTACAGTAAGTAAAACTTGTAAAGTTATGGTATTTATAACAAAGCGAATTTGGGACAAAATGATGAATGAGTGTACAGATTATTTTTTGAAAATCACCACGTTTTATCAATGAAGTTGTCGACAAGACTTAGAGGCCTTGCTTTGCAACGTCGTTTCGTACTTTTCAAGAATCATCAGTGGGGTATAGGTCTATCCATTCGGAGACGTTGCATAGTACGTCAATGATCGTAAATTTTGAAATAATCAACTCAGCAAAATCCATTTCTTGCCGATAGCCATAAACTGTGTAGAATCTTATTTCTAAACGGATCTTAGCCGAATTCCTGCTAGATTAATTTTTACTTTGTTGCGGTAGCCACAATTTTCTCACAAGCCGTCCACCAATTAACTTGATGGATGTGAGTTAATGAGGAGCTGTATCGCTCAAAGTAGTATACGAACATTGAATTATATAGCACCTAGTCATCAAAAACAGCCAGGGATTGTTTCAAATTGTTATTATATGCGGAAGCTTAAACTATACTTATTATTTCTGATTGCTTGGAGCGCTTGTGTCATACCAAAAAAAGTATCTCGACGTCGGATTTGATTTATGAAAAGCGTTATGTGCACAGTATGTAATATGTTTTCTATGACGGATAAACTAACACTGAATATAAATGTGTCATGGTTATGGGGATTATAAATGGAAAATAATAAGGGCGTTACATCGCTCGCACATGGACGTCAAGAAAAAAGTCAAGTAGATCGACTTGAGGATCGATAGTATCTAAGTCAACTTTTGCATACCCTGGTATATTTAGTATGAGACCGTAGAGTAAGGTGCGAAAAACAATACTGTTGATTTAGAAATCGAAATTACGAGTTAATTTTCGTACGTTTTGGTAATTTGCGACTGGGTCACTGTTAGGATCAGACCCTCGGCAGGTAGAAGATAGCGCATGTTGCTGGTAGCTGGTGTTGCTGTATTCGAAGACGTAAATATGCGGAAATATACTAAGTGACATATAAATCCGAACACCCAGTTTAAATGGTTTTATTTTAATAAAAGTTGGTGAATGTCTTTATCTTACTGTAAATAACAAGTGAAAAGATTTTCAGCCTTATCAGTTGGACATTCCGGTTTGTATACTGCTTTTTTTTTAGTTCACTAACGCTCTAAAAATGAATATTTCAGCCGCAGTAAAGAATCAACTTTGGCGGATTTTGGTTCTTGACATCCTTTACGATCGGTTACGATGCCTAGAGTACGGAGACCTGTACGATTTCGTCAACTTAGTGAGTTTGATAGGGGCCGTATAGTGGGACTTCGGGAAGCTGGACTTTCTTTTCGGGCAATTGCAGTTAGAGTGCAAAAAAGTGTAGACACTGTGGTTAGGTGTTGTCAGGCATGGCTTCGAGAAGGCCGTACGCAAAGAGCAAGGGGCACTGGACGCCGCCGTAGAACAACAGACCGTGAAGATCACCGTCTAAGATTATTAGCCTTAAGGGACCGTTTCTCCACTACCAGGTCCATTGCAAATGAATGGTTTGCAGAACACGGAAGACCTATTGGCATGCGAAGTGTTTACCGACGAATGAGAAGTTTTGGCTTGTTTTCATACCGGCCACACTGGGTCCTCCCTTTAACTCGAGAACACCGACGTAATCGCCTTGAGTGGTGCAGACAACGGTCACTCTGGGATCAGGAATGGAACAGTATTGTCTTTAGTGTCGAGTCTCGATTTTGTTTAGGCATGCACGATGGTCGTGCCAGGGTTAGAAGGCGACGTGGTGAAAGGAGGAATCCACAGTTTTTTGTTGAAAGACATGTTCATCACACTGTTAGAGTTATGGTTTGGGGTGCTATAGCTTATGGATCCAGGTCACCTTTAATCTTCATCAGAGGTAACATGAACGCGCAGCGTTATATCCACGAAGTTCTAGAACCCCATCTTTTACCCTATCTTGACACCCTGGCAGATCCAACTTTGCAACAAGATAATGCCCGACCACATGTTGCAAGAGTCACAATAGACTTCTTTCAACATAATGATGTTACATTGTTACCATGGCCACCAAGATTTCCCGACTTATCCCCAATTGATCACGTGTGGGATATGATGGGTAGGAGATTGCTCAATTTGCAACGTCCTCCTCAGACTCTAGAAGCACTTCGAGAGCAGTTGGTGGTTGCCTGGAATGAGATACCACAGGAGGACATTGACCACCTGATCAGAAGCATGCCTAGGCGCGTTGGAGAATGCGTAGCACATCAGGATGCATCCACACATTATTAAAGGTCAAAGGGCTTTAAAGCAGTGCAGTCATTTTGAAATTTTTATCATTTACTTATTATGCTTCATTAAGTACTTATACAAAATTTTATTAAAATAAAACCATTTAAACTGGGTGTTCGGATTTATATGTCACTTAGTATATGTGTCATGG